CTACGGAAGTAGATTGCCCAACCTTCCTTCCGAGGAGTGGCTGGTGGGTTTGAACCGCCAGCTTTCTGGTTAGCAGTCAAGTGCCTTAGGTACTATGCTACCAGAGGTCCTAAAATAATAGGATAGTAATTATTAAAGATACTTTTACTTTCTTCCCAAGAAAACTGGGAAATAATTTCATCTGCCCTCATGAAAACTTTCTAAAGCACTTCTCCTTTATCTCAGGGAAAACTGAGGCACCAGTTGGGACAGTTAGGAAAGTGACTTGTCTAGCCAATCAGTAGGAGAGGCGGGACTAGATCTCAGCTATCCCAACATCCAGGCTCGTAGTCTGACCACTAAACCACATAGCCTCTTTTTTTAGGGTTTATTGACTTGGCTTTTACTTCTTTTCTTTTCCCTTCTTCCTTTGCCCTGCCAGCAACTGGAAGCTCTCTGATAAAAGAAGAGAATTTTGAGTCCAGGGTGAACATTTGACATCCTCTTATTTGTGGAGCATTATCCTGGGACTTGGAGGGTACTGCTGTTGGGGTCTGTGTGGTGGAGCTGGCAGCCAACCCCAAGAATATAGCTTGTTTGGGCATTAACCCATTTGTGGTTATAATAATGATAAGTTTCAGCACCAGTGGCGCCCGACTGTTAATGACTCAAAGAAAACTAAATAAGAACAAGATGTCATCTCTGGAGCAATTTGTAGGTTTTTTCCTACAGCTCCATCCCTTCCATTAAAAAAGAAAAAAAAATCTTAAGGATCCTTGTATTTAAAGTCAGTTTGCTACTCTGAATGTCCTGGACAGCCTATGAGGGGGGAGGAGTTAGAAAAAGGTAGGAGGTTGCTAGACTAAGGCTTCAAGAAAATTTGGGGTTGCACAGAAATAACAGGTCAGTTTACTGGTGGTGGGATTATTGTTTGCCTTTTACTTCTGTATACTTTTCTATATTCTAAAAATTTTCTATCATGGGCATGTGTTATGTTTATAATCTGCAAAAAAAAAAATAATAACAGTAAATGAGTGCCTTGAAAAATTTTTAAATACTTTTTAAGCAGAAGTGATGACCTTCCAGATAGTGTTTGTTTTTCCCAAGATGAAGCCACTACTTTTAGATTTCTCTTCTGTTATGATTACATGATAATAGATTTTGGCAACACAGCAGTGGTGAAGGAAATTTTCAGTGAAGCTTACAGGACACTAGTCCTTTAAAAAGAATGGAAATATACAAACATTGTTAAAATCGAGCTTATTTTTATAACCTTATTGAATGTTAAGGAAAGAAATAACATTGACCTTCAGCTTAGCTGGGCTTTTCAGATTCTTAAATTATCCTTACATGTTTCTGAAAAATTTACTTAAATATCGAATCACCCAGGTAAGCCAGTAAATCAGAAAACTCAGAAAGGGGTAGGGGGAACAAAACCCACTGCCAGCAAGTTGATTCTGACTCTTAGCAACCCTGGACAGAGGAGAACTGTCCCATAGGGTTTCCACGGCTATAAATCTTTACAGAAGCCGATTGCCTCATCTTCCTCCCACGGAGAGGCTGGTGGATTCGAACCACCACCTTTTGGTTAGCATCTAAATGCTTTAACCACTGCACCACCGGAGTGCCTTTTTCAAAGTGATAGGACATTGATCAAAACACAGAGATGGTATCAGATGTCAAAGACAGTACTACAGCATAGGGCATGGAAACATTGAGCTCAGAACAGTGGGAAAAACATCCACAAGAAAGAGGATGTGTTGGGACATCGATTTATTGGCCTATAATTCCTGGTTATAAAAAGAAAATCAGTAGGTATCTCTGGCACTGCTAAGGACCTATTGAGAGATTGATTAAGAAGAAAATCTGCCCTGCGACTGAAGGCTACAGAAAAGCAAACATAAATGTACTGAATGGTTTTAAATCTCAAGGAAACAGTGAAAGAAGAGAAAATGCAGGCTGAGTGATTGCTACAAAACAGGTTCAAGAAACTAGGACAAGCTTTTATCAACTCATCAAGCAGAAAAGATGCTAACGGCGAAGTAGCTACTAAGAAATGCAGGTCATGAAATTCATGCTAAGCTCCTAGGCTTTTCTTAAAAGACTTTCACAAGAGCAAAGCAGACACTAAGTGTGATGCCACTGTATGAGATTAACATGTGGAATAAAAAAGTGCAATTTACAGAAAAGTCGTGTTGGACTGCTGCAAGTCAAGAAACCAGAGCACTGGGGGAACTTGCAAAAAAAAGGAAAACATTCACAAACTCTTCTGCAATTCAGAATAGCTAATGAACTATAAGAAAGATGTTGTTAAGAGGACATGGCTTAAATTAAACTGTTGCTCACAGGCAATTACAAACTTGTAACTTCTTATTTCATTATTGTCAGATGCTTCAAAAAGAGTTGGAAATTATACTTTTATATAGATTGAAAGGAAAGTTCTCTGATCTTTTTGATAGCCCACCAAAATTAGTTGTGCTGTCCTCTGCGATAGAATATGCAAGCTCTGCAAGCATTTATACTGGAGCTCTGGTAGCATAGTGCCTAAGGCACTTGACTGTTAACCAGAAGGCTGGCGGTTCAAACTCACCAGCCACTCCTTGGAAGGAAGATGGGGCAATCTACTTCCTTAGTGATACTGCCTCAGAAACCCAAGGAGGGGTTGCTATGAGTTGGGTCCGACTCGATGGCAAACAACAACAACAACAACAAGCATTTATAGGAACCCTGGTGGTGCAGTGGTTAAGCACTTGGCTGCTAACTGGAAGGTTGGTGGTTTGAA